CAGTAGTTTCAAAGACTTTGTTGGAGCAATGCCTACAAGCTGGCATTATGGGCACCTAGCAGTTTTTACTATTTTACCAGCACAAAGCCACAACATTGCCTTAGTGACACTAGTGTTACTAGCTACAGAGGCACTTTCTTTATAAGCCCTATTTTTTTCAGGGCTTAAACCTCCTCCTTAACCCCTCACCCCACCCCCTCCAAAACAGCAAACCAAAAACATATTAACAACTATCCACAGGCTAAGAACTTTTTTTTGTTTCTATTAAAATGAGGGTATTTTTGGCAAGTTGGCTACTGATTATGGGCACTGCCTTATTTCCCTCTCATTATAGCAGCATGCGGTACAGCACCAGATAAATCTGCAGAAGCTTGTGATTTAGAAAGTCACAGACACACCAGGTTTATTTCAAGCAATTTACACATTGCCGCACTAACAGAATTGAGGGCTACTAATTTATGAGTTGTCCTGCTCATCCCCTTTCTTCAATGGGTGAAAAGAGAAGTGCTTCCAACTGGTCACAGAATCCTTGCACATCTGGATTAATGACTGATCACAACTCGGGCTTCAAGGCTTCAGCAGTGGCCTGCAGGAGTCGGAAGGAAAACACTCCCCCCTTTGACGTGCATTTACCTGGAGGTATTTGATTCTTCTCCCACCTTTTATTCTACAGCATCAGATTAGCTACCGCTGGGAACGTGTCACAAGATGGCATGAATCAATGCTCTTCGGCGGTACAGAGCATCCTCTTTCTAGAGGTTTCACTGGTGGACCCTGTGCTGGGAGCTCTGAGCAACTTCAGGGGTGGCAGAAAATCAGTGGCAGGGACTGTGGTAGGACTGCCCCTTTCTACACCAGGAGGCACCTCTCAAAGACCCATTCCCTCAGACCTTGGTGATATTTGGTCTGCCACATTCTCTGGTTGTGACAGTTTAGATTAAAACAGGTGGAAGAAAGGCCCATGCAGTGCAAGCAAACTGATGGTCTCCTGGCTTTCAACTATTTTTTTAGACATATCTGAGTTTCATAATCTGTTTCTTAAGTACAGCAGAGGAGCAGTCAGTTCAGAAGTTTTTCTTGGCCACATGAATATACAGAGCCAAGGGAATTGGTTGACATGGGCCTGGAATCATTACAGATGCCAGAGACATAGGGGAAGGGGAACATGGAAAGAGGAAGGGAGGGGTGGCCGGGAAGTGAGAGATGAGTAAGATATTTGCATCAAATAAGTTAAACAATAATCATCAACCCCTGTGTAGTTGGTGATTCATCTCCCAAATCCTCCATTATTGACACTGCACAACTGGCACAGCGAGTGCCTGGAAGCGGACACTGCCAAAAATGCCAAACCTCTTCCCACCATTAAGTCCCTTTTTCCTCCTGGAAAGCCATTTCCCATTGGCTAATGGCTGCCCTGCTAGGTTATATTTTTTTCAGAAAGCTGAAGTCTGCACAACTAGGAAAAACACTGCTGGATTAAGAGCATTGTGAAGGTGTGTATATACATGGAAGATAACTCATTAACAGCTTTTATTAGGCATATGTATGTGAACTGCATTCCTCAAATGAATGGCAGTTTACCAAGCGTAACTGTTAAAAGAGGTTCTGGTTGGTCCACTAACCTGCCTCTGAGACAGCGTTAGAGCTACCGAGGAGGGTAAAGAAGTACTTTCATTGCAATATAGATGATTCACTATCTATACCCAGCTGTAGTTTTTCTACCGCATTAAACATACTTCTGAGCACAAAATGAATAGATACAGGAGTAAGGAATGTGTTCTCCACTTCCATGACACTAATAACACTGTAGACTGGACTACACCTTATTCAGAGGAAGGACAGGTAGACTAGTGAACCATTGGGCTGATCCAGTAGAGCTAAAATTTGCCAGGCATCAGGTAAAAGGATGGTTACTTGTCAGACCCATACAAAGTCTTTTTCATTACAACAGATGTTGTTTAATTGGGTTTAATTGATTCTTCAGGTTAAACCTGAACTAGTCACAGATTCACAGAAGTTTAGGGCTGGAAGGGACCTTGTGAGGTCATCAGGTCCAAACCCCCTGGCTCTGGCTAGGAAAGACTGCTGGGGTCAAATAACCCCTGCAAGGTGTGTGTCCAGCCTCCTCTTGAAGATCTCCTGGGTAGATGCCTGCACCACCCCTGCTGAGTCTATTCCAGAGTCTGGTCTCACGAACTGTGAAGAAGTATTTCCTTATATCTAGTCTGAAACCTTCTTCTAGGAGTTTATGACCATTGCTTCTGGTTTTTCTCTGGGGTGCTCTGGTGAATAGTTGTTCGCCTAGCCCCTGACGCTCTCCCTGATATATTTGTAAGCTGCCACCAAATCCCCCCCACAAAGCCTTCTCTTTTCTAGGCTGAACAGTCCCATATCTGCCAGACTTTCCTCATATGGCTTGCTCTTTGGGCCTCTAATCATACAAGTGGCTCTTCTCTGGACTCTTTCAAGCTTATCCACATCCTTCCTGAAGTGTGGCACCCAGAACTGGATGCAGTACTCCAGCTGCAGCCTCACCAATGCCAAGTAGAGCGGGAGAAGAACTTAATTAGTTTGTTAGAAATGCATTGCTTGATGCATGCCAGCGTATTGTTTGCTTTGCTAACTGTAGCATCACACTAGTGGCTCATTCATTTTATGGTCAATTATGACCCCCAGGTCCCTTTGGATGTGGTGCTAGCTAGCCCGTAAGTTTGTTGTGGATTTTTCCTCCCCAGATGGAGCACTTCACAATTCTCAGTGTTGAACAGCATCTGGTTCTGTTCGGCCTATCTAACTAAGCTGTCTAGCTCTGCCTGGATTGTCAGCCTACCCTGATGTGTGGTCACAATTCCCCAAAGCTTAGTGTCATCGGCAAACTTTGCCCATGTGCTTTTCACCCCCACTCCAGATCATCGATGCAGATGTTGAAAAGCACTGGTCGAAGTACCGAACCCTGAGGGACCCCACTGGCTACCTTCCGCCAGGGCAACACAGATCTGTCTATTAGTACTCACGGGTCCGAACCCACAGCCAGTTTCCCACCTATCTGACCACTGAGTTGTTGAACCCATAGTCCCCTAGTTTTACTTTAAGAGTCTTGTGGGGCACCAAGTCAAAGGCCTTCCTAAAGTTCAAGTAAATGACGTTGACCTTATCTCCCTTAACCAGGTGGCAAGTAACCTAGTCTCTACCAGGTTGTTGGTAAAGAGAGCTATAAACTGAAACGAGAAAGTTAATTCAGAAGGATCAGAAGCTGCTATGCCTGGCAATTCCTGTGTTGTTGAGTGTCTTGGTTGCTCACATTCCAATGAGAAGATATTTCAATCCCCCCCCTCCTCAGACTTGCAGCAACTTTGACCGTCGGTTCAAAGCAAACTATTTCCAGGATGTTAAGTTCACAGAGAAGCAGGCTTTCTTCTCAAACTTCACACCCATACTCACAGGACTGCAGTGAGTTGAAGTGTCATCTCTGGTGCTAAAGCAGCATCTTCTGTCACAGGAGAAAAATGGAGTTTAAAGTAAAACGTACATATCATTAATTCAGCAAAGCTAGAGATGGAGCTAACAGCAGCCTGCCATCTGCTCTGCTTCCATTTAGTGGTGCACTTTCAATCCTGCCATTCAATGTGTCTTTAGAAAAAGATTACTGGTTAGGTCTGGATTGATGACCTCCAGGATGCGGTCATCTGCGCCCGGGAAGGAAAACAACATGCTGGTTAGGACACTCACTTTAATTGGCAGCATCAGAGGATGATCTAGAAATGGCAGTGGAGACTACTGCTTTACAAGTGCTAACTCAGCTCTGTAAGACCTGCCAAATAGCTTGCACTTCCCATCTGCCAGCAGGTAGCACTTTTTATTGCCCACATGCAAGTACTCTCTAAACATACAAGCTCGCCTCCCTACCACCACAAAGTAAGTCTTTTAAACCCACAGAACAGAAGATTCCAATCTAAAACTTTGCTGTCCAGGGCACGGCTCCTTTATAGCATCTGCCTCTGTTCTACACTATAGCACTAGGTACCTAGTACAATTCCCACTTCCCTTATAGACAGGGCAAAGTTAACATGCCACTGTCAGTTAGAAGTCAAAATCCCAACAGAGCTGTTGACTTGGTTCCTACTAGCAACGTAAGTCAATAGCAGAGCCACATTATCATCACCATCCTTTCACAACATATCTGCCATGCTAGACTCCTTCCAGCTCTGTAGAGTCTCCCAGACTATACAAAACCCAATATTTTAAGTATTATTTAGGCAATACACTGTCTAGAGCTTGTAAACATGAAATCCTAAAAAATCTTACATGTCTGCTGATCTATTAATCTTCTTTCCATAACCCAGAGGGAATGGATGGGAGAGATTACACTGAGATAAGGATTGTCAGAGATCAACTGGAAAAAGCTGATCTATAGAACCTGAAAAAAAAAAAAATCAGGATTTAATGCAGTTAAAAAAAAAAAAATTTAGATAGAACTACTGACCTCACAAAAATGGTATTTCTCCAAACAGCTGGTGGAGTTTAAATTATTCTTCCCACCTACATCAAACAGTATTTTACTGGTTTGTTGGCTGACCCTGCACAGGTCACTCCTACTATATATTTACCTTCTTTGTGATACTCTCTCTCACTTGAAGATTGCTGAATGATAAGGGTTTATATAAAAGACCTAAGTGTGGGTGAAATTTAAGAAACTGGAATGATCTTGAAAGAAATGGAATTCTAGACATCTCAGCTGTCAACTGCAGCAGGATTTATACAAGCAGAGAAGTCCCTAAAAAGTGACAATCAATGTTATGTCCAAATTAATTAAAAAACCCCCCCAGAAGCTTGAGGTTAAAGATGTTTCCATGATTTCATTTAAATCCTATGGAGAAATGTATTAAACCTTCTTTGGCAGTCCGTGCCACCAAGATAGCACAAAATTGAAGATGAAATTACGTATTTGTTTTCCACTGGTCAAGCTGAGGGCAATACAAAAACCCCACAGAATACTCCACAAGATTTGAGTTTTTCCATTTTTATAATCAAGTTTTAGCAACATGGGTAAGAAGGCTTATACAATAAAATTATCAACTGACAGCATCCTTTTTGCAACAGTGGGGGCAAGCAGTAACTGTAATGCACACTTCACAGTTTGTATCACCATCTACCACACAGATACAGACATGCCACAGCTTTTATGTCTCGACTACTTTTTGACAATCTGGTATCCAAGCTCACTCCATGGTGATGGGACAGTTTCTCTCTGCAGCTCTCTCCAAATGGTGCATTCTGAGTTCACATCTACAGTGTAAGACATCTAGACAGTACAGGTTCTGCATAGGAATCTCCATCTCTGCAAAAGACTAGTAAGACTGACTAGATTTCACTTTAACAAAGCTTCAATGCTTTTAACACTTGATCACAGAACCAGAAACGTACATGGGTATGCACAAAGGTTACAGATGTGAGTATCACTGAGGGAAAAAGGAGCCTGCATTTATACATGTAGATTGTTACTCACATCTCAGCTATGCCTGTGCGCAGAAACATTGATCAGACCTCTGCTTTGGTTTCTTTGAAGCAGAGTGAGTAAGTGTTGGGGGAGACTGAGTCACAGGGAAGCAGCCTTTAAAAGACTGTCTGGGATGCAAGGGAACAACACTGGTATGTCCCCCCTGTACTTGGTTTAAACTAGACTTCCAACAGGGAGAAGAACCCCATGCCATATCAGCATTGTTAATGCCATAAAGCTAAAGTTTACAAGCTGACATCATACACTGCTTCCCCGCAGCACAGTGACCAGTTATTCCTGAAAAGAGAAAGAGAAACTCCTTTTCACGAAGGTCACAGTCCCATGTGCACATAGACAGAATGGCTGCACACAACCCTGCTCGCTCCCTTAATGGGAGTTGTGGTCCATTTGGGGGGAAAAAGAGTCTTGTCATTTTGTACTGAGGGAATAAGAGTGATCCCCTCCCTCATTTACAAGGACAGTGCCTTCAATTAGTTCAGCCTGGAAACCCAGGTCAAGGTCCATTGCACTTGTCATTGCTTTGCTTTTTTCACTATGGTGCCAACAGCAGAGATGACTGTAGTTTTGGATCCACTGGCACTGGTCGTTACTGTGACAACAGCAGGCAGTGTTGCGGTGGTGGTGAGGATGGTGGGCTGAGCTATTGTTGTTACTGGTATGGCTGAGTCCCACTTGCTCTTCCTTTTCTGCGCGTCTGTGCATTTGGTTAAAACAGAAAGGTAAGTGTTACTGTTAACTGGCAGGGATCTTTTAATGCCACCTTCCTCCCCACATCCTGCCTATTTCCTCACTTCTTCTTGGAGCAAAATGTCACTTTAGATCAGATGCACTAGGAAAAGCCCAAACGGAACTTTAAAACCTGGAGAGCAAAATTAAGGCATCTACACTTGACCTCTGACCTCCAGTCACGTGACAGATTCACTCACTGCCCAAATTATGTTTGCTTTCTGATAAAACACAACGATCCCCCCAGTGCACTAATACCAGGGTATGGGGCAAAGAACTACTTACTTGGAGATCTTATCACACTTCACATTTTAAGAGTCATTCTCCAGATTGCAACATGCTTTAAACTGCACCTTCTCTTCCCCACCTCCACTCATCTTTCCAAGGCTTTCAGGAAAGACCTGCCCTAACAGAGCCCAGCAAACACATACAGGAACACATTTCTTTAACCCTTGACAAATCTTCTAGGCAAGAAAATGCCAGGTCTTTATACCAGATGATTGATCAAGCTTCTCCCTAATCTCAGTGCCTCACTTCTACCAACCCCTGACAAACCTTTTTTTCCTGCAGACAAAAAAAGACAAGGAGAAGAAAGGGCACTTTTAGGGTTTTGATGTAGCACAAGCAATTCTAAAATTACAAAAAAAATACAAGTTTGAAGTACAACGTGCCTTTACCTCCAACAGCAGTGCTGGCTGTTGTGGTTGTAGTAGATGAAGCATTTGTTGTGGTACCCTTCTTAGTGCCAGTCACAAACTCAATCTAGAAAGGAGGAGGGGATAAAAGGAAAGAATAAGATGTTATCTATTTATATGTACCCTCCTCTTACCTTATTGTAAAACTCTCCTTTAGATCCAGAAGGTTGTGAGTTATGAACACATTTATTAGACTACTCCAGTTGACAATATTATGTGGGAGATGAATACACAGCCCTGAATTCAAGCTCTCTTAAGTATATCAAGAGTTATAACCACTATGACCTGAAATACTGAGATCTTTGAATAGATGCAGAGAATCATCACATTTCTGTATGCTCCACAGAAATCAAGTTTTTGTTCTTACTGGATAGAACAAGGACAGGTCTTGGTCAGTGTAAACATGTTCTTACAATTACATATTTCTTCAAGAAACACTAGGAAAATAAGAACTGTTCTAAAATGCATGTTCTTACATGCATGGTTGGAAGAGACTAGATCACAAAAACAGCTTGGTAACAAGAACTACAATAGCCTGTGATTATGGATGGAGATATGGTCAAAGGTGACTACTTCTGTGCAAAAAGCAGAACAAGAGATAATCAAAAGAAATGGCTAACAATGTTAGCCATCTGATATACCAGTTGCCTGTAAAGCACTCTACAAGTGTGAAGGGGAGAGAATCTCATCAAACCTTTGGATGGGATTTCTTAAGGCCAGCCACTAATCCAAGTGTATTACTCTTGGGAAAATAAAAATCTTCCAATACGTGGGGCATGTGGATGTTCTTAGTGATTCAATTTCCTGTCATGATACTTGCAGATATAGATAAGTTGAGATGGGTCTCAATATTTTTGGAATGTGATAACAGCAAATAGCAATTTTAGAAAGAGAGAATAGAATTCAGTTACTCAGTCACAATATGAAATGGGAGGGAAATTAATTTAAATCAGGTTATGTGACCGAGGCAAAATGTCAAGGACTATGGAGATAATAGTTCTTTATCCAGTATCTTGCCTCTATTTGGAATGAAAGGGGCAGTTTTGGGTGTTCCAATTCAAGACTAGTGACAAAACTGGCAGGAACTCAAGGGAATTAATGGCCCAAAGGAACTGACCTATAAGGAAAGGCTAAAAGCTAAATCTGCACATCTTGGTGAAGGCATGATTATGGGGAGGAATAAGCAATCATCTAAAAATATTCAGCAGTCCCTGGTTCATAAAGGAACAGGAAAGCGACAGAATGAAATTTAGTAAACAAGAAATTATGGCTAGAGATTAAACTTTGCATTTCCAGTTTCTGAATAGCTACCTTAGTGCGCTCCTTCTTAGCCTTTTCCAATTTGTCCATTTCAATCTTCTGGGCTTTGGCTAAAAAAGAGGTCAAAAGATTCAGCAAAATCTGTAAGTCTGCAACTCTACCATATTCCCCATCTCTGAAATGAAGAATATAAACCAGCAAAAATTGCTATAAATGTTTTTACTTTCCATCAAGTAACCGTTTTTTAAATTTTTACTGCCACCAATTCCGAATATCAAAACAATAATTTTAAGAGAGGGGTTTTCCAAACTGGCAGAACATCAAAGTCGTATATCTGTCTAATTAAAAGCAGAGCAATGCCTCATGGCAGGCATGTTCCGACTTTCTCTTCCTTCAAATGGATGTTGGATTAAAACAGGTGTTTAAAGTTCAGCATGATCCAGTAATAATTATGAGGTAACAGCATCGGAAGACCAGAAAGATGAATTACCTAGTGCTTCATAGTAGGAATCCTCTGACCATCCATGAGGGTCAAACATGTCCTAAAAGAAAAGTCATCTTTGGATTACGTTGGTATCTCAATAGGAAATACATAAATGGTTCAAATATGACTAATGTAAATCTTATACAAATGCACCTCAATGAAAAGATGTTCTGTGGGTAAGATCACTACCACTGTTCTTGCTTCTCCTTTTTATCCCAGTGATCCACAGAAAAGCTGGGAAAAATGACAGCGATGCTTATGGAAGCCACATGTTCTTCTGAAACGCCCTTCTTAAGCATGAATTGATAAACATCGTTTAAGATGTTCTGGTTGAAGGAGCCAGACATACACCTGTCTGGCTTCTCTGAGAAGTCTCTACTTGTAGCTTGGAACCATTAGCATAACTGTTATTTTCTAGCTGACAATTCAGCAATTTGCTTTATTTATCCTGGCTATGCCAGCTCCATGACAGACAGACTGTTTCTTCCCCCAGTGTGACATGAGCTACCCAAACTTGAGCTTTATGACAGGGCCCAGCGCATGCCCAGAAAATAAAGTTTTAGCTCCACCATTGCAAACCCTATGATTAGTTGCTCCAGCTGTGAAATTCAAAGTTCATATAGCAAGACTTCAGCTACGAGGTATTGCACAAAGCATGCTGTACTTTAACTCAACTATCTTGATCAACTCTCTTCACAAGTAGACCTGATTCAGGAAGAACTCTGCCCAAGAAAGGAGACAGAAGATTCACAGACCCATCCTGATTCTCTCATTAAATCTTTCACTCAACTTACTTTTGGATAGTTTGTCCCTAGTTCATCAATTGAACAAAACTGGATCAGCTTTTCATAGATGCTGAAATGGAAAAACTGCAGTTAGTTTTGCTTTCCTTGTTCCTCTTCTCAAATGTGATCATTTTGGATTTGCTGGCAAAGAAACAGACATTTCTATATATGGGGGCAGCCACAGAATTGCAGCCTGAAAAGTCACACTTTGAGGACCCTTAACCTCCAGCATAATTGGCACAACAAATTGCAAGCCACGGTCCTCCCCCATCTCTCCCAGGGATGGCTCAGTTCCCATCTCCCAGCCCAAAACAGAACTCTCATATCCACAGCTCCATGTTTACTGCTTTTAAAATCTGAGCCTAAAGGTTGGCTCACTCTCCTCTATACAAATCTCTGAAGTAACACGAACCTCGTTTCTACACAATATTTTTCTAAGTTGTCACCCGCTTCATGAGCAAGAGACCGTTGCTGCTTAAAATTCCATTTCCAAAATGATCTAAACATCAGGGAGGACGTGTCTTGGGATCTGTTCTCACATGGGGCTATAGCCTCAAGGGATAGCTCACCTGGGGTTGCGAAACTCCTTCTTCCTCTGAATGATGTAGTTCATGTCCATGCCCTCTTTCATCTTTCTTTCATACAGCTTCTGAATTTTGTCCTAGGTAAGAGGACAAAAGAGTTAAGAACCACTGCAAGACAAAAAGGTACCACAACAGCTGGAGAGATGACACGTACATACAGGTGAAGAGAAAAACCAACCAAGCCTCAAAACAGCCGGGGCTTGGAAGAATAATTGTTCAGAGACTCAAAAGTTCTCAAACTTAACCAAGTTAGTACAGAAGGGACCATCTCACTGCAAAGATCACCCCCCCCCCC